CTTTTTCCTTTTTCCTCGCCACCCACGGTGAGCCATCACCTCTGTACGCTATGCAAAGACAGTCGTTTCACGGTTTTCTTCATCTTAATATTTTGTGGACGCTGCCACCGGACGACACTTGGGCTCTCCTGGTAGGGCCATTCTTTCGTCGTTTCTCTCGTTGTTTCTTCCATTATAAAAGACTATAATAGTGCATTATTACAATACTACAAAGTATCCGTTACTTTAACATGATCTCTTTTGGATTTTCAATCAGCAATGGTCGCCGGCCATTGTCACAATGGCCTCCATCCACGCCTGACCTTCACGCTGCATTGCCCTGCATCCTTCATCTTCTACAACCTTCCAGAAAGCAGGAGACACGGCACGACCAGCAGGAGGGGAATGGCTAGGCGAGGGACAACATGAAATCAACAGGAGGATCAAGCCAGCCGGGCACATACATGGGGCCAAGAGGGTGTGCACCAGTGTCGTGGCCATCCATCTATGTTGCTATGCGTTGCATGCAGAAGACGTGCAGAAGAGACGCAAAGGACATGGGGACGTTCACAGGACCTGCAGGCAGGATAACCGACGAGAGCGGGGCGCGAAGACCGGAGGGCCATCCCACCAACGGCCAAGAATCCAGGAGACCGTGATGAGTCTCGACGAGTGAACACGACTGGGCAGCGCACGCCCCAATCAGGACACCATCGGACACGACGCACGCCCGGACAACGACAATGACGTCTCTCGTCCATTAATTCATATCGCGTTGCCGATTTGCCCCCCTCTTCACCCTTTGGCTTCTCCTCTCGTCCCTTCACTCGCCCCTCCCTCATCCACACCGGAACCAGGGGGTGGAGCTGGCCAACTCATCACATATAGGTGCGGCGGGCTATATGGCGACCGGAAAGCACGTAAGACGTATGTCGTAGAAGAGGAGACAGAGAGTCCAAAACGAGGGTGTCGGCAGGATAAACAGGCTGTGTTCTGCGGACAGGGATCTCCGTATGGTGCCCGTTGCCTCTCGTCTATCCGTTGTTTTTTTTTTTTTTTTTTTTTTTTTTTTTTTTTTTTTGGCACTCCTTCGCGTCCTTCTGCATCCTCCGCACACACTGTTTTCCTCCAATCCACGTTTGTTCGTCTTGCCTTTTCCCTCTCCTCGTCTCTCGCCCTCGTCGACCCCTGGTCCTTGGACTCCCCGTCCCATTCCGCATCGCCGCCCGCCTTCCGAAGCCAAGCTTTGCGGGCCTGGTTTGATGAATCAAAACAGATTAACAGCCCATGGCACCCCATGACCATAAACAGTCAGGCGCATCGTCCAGCTTCCCTCGGCTTGTTTGGGTTGTGACGGCCTTGTGATTGCTCCCTGTGCCCATCTTTGCCTGGGCAGAGGATATTCCTGTTCCAGGTATATCAAACAGACAAGAGCAGTGACTGGTCTGGAGAGGATGACTGCCCAAACTACGTTTGTGGTCTGCAGCATATGAGTGGAGTGGGAGGGGGCAAATCATCACTTTGTATGATCTTCCCCGCTTGATGGGCAGGGCAGGCCAGGGAAGAGAAGGACGTGTTGAGGTATTATCGTGGGAGGGTGTATGGAGTATCTGCACACCTACACACCATACGCACCATATGCACCATATGCACCATACACACCAATGCGCCAAATGCACGTTATGTAGCATGCCAACAAGGCACACAGGGGATATGAAGAGGGCAGCCGGCCCGGGGTATGGGCATTACGGAGTCGATAAAACGCTACACAGTCCAAGCAGAGGCGAGGTATTGCTTTCAAAAGGATTGAAGTTTTCAAAAGGATTGGAGTTTTATTGCTTGGGGTTTGATGCGAATAAAGTGAAAATGCAAAACGTCTGAAAGAGGAATGGACCTTCGGACAACACAACTGTCGTACACATCCATCTAGATAACTACATAAAACAATGCAGTGACACTGACAGGGAGTTGAATATGCACGTCGACGCATCCAGCTTACAGGGTACAGAGTGCGTTGTACTTACGCAACTTTTATTCAACAAAATCCATTTTGTTTGCTTTGGTTTTTATTTATTTTGGTTATTTTGTATGTTGTATTATTATTATTTTTATTTTCTCCGTTTCTTGTTTGGCCCCCCCCCCCCCCCTCTTCCGCTCTCTACCTTCACTCTCATACATTCTCAATCTGCGCTTTGACTTGAATTCGACCAGGTATAACTTCTGACATTGTTCATGCACTGCGCACGGATTGCATTATAAAATAAGGACAAACGTGGAATTAAAATTGAATTAAATAGGTAAGGCAAAGAATGACGCTGAGACGCTGAGACTGTCGAGAATAAGGTCGTATATGAAAGAATCAAGTTTATCGAGCTGGTCCTTTTGGACACACCCGGACACAGAATTAAAATTAAAACAGGCCACAAAATAACACCCAGACAGGCAACAAGTCTGGGCATGGAGACAACACGGACCATTTTCTATTTGTCTGTTGTTTTTTGGCTCTCGAGCAACTGTTGGTTTCAATTAGGCTGTCTGGAAACTAGCTGTGCACGGTAGGTCAAAAGGTCAAAACGTTGCTCAGGAAATTAAACAAACAGATTCTCTCCCGGCAAAAGAAATAACAGAAAGGGAAATAAATAAAATAAAATCCGGAAAAAGAATATGAAAAAAAAAGTAAACCTTGCCAAACACATTGTCCCACGTCGTAACTCTGGCTCCAGTCGTCTGCGGATACTCCCTCGGCGTCCCTTCCCTTCCGTTTTTAAAACGCTAAAAATTGGGTCTCTACAGGGGACATGTCTGTAAGACAAGGTATAACTTGTATATGTCATGACAAGGTATGGCATGGCGCTCAAGCCATTGGTGCACTCTGGCAAACTAACAACATACACAAACGTCAAGGGTAAAGTCTGAAAAGGTCTAGCCATGTCCCATTTTATTTGTTCTTTATTTAGCACAAACCTGTCGACGGGGAAAGGAGAAATATCACATATTCAACTGTGCATCGCAGAGTGCAGACGATCAGGGAGATGCAACGGGAAGGGAGGGGGCGGGAATCAGATCGATGCATCGGTCGAGATGAACTCCGTTTTGCAAGAAGTGATAGTTGACAAGTTGACATGTTTGACAAAATGGCAGACAAGAGCGAACACGAATCGGACAAGACAAACACGGAAAAGGGACGGAAAGAATACGTACAGGGGCCACAGCCCTGCGGACACGGCACGGGGAAGCAAGTCGAGCGACGCGGTGAACAAATCAGAGGACAGGACAACCCGTCCATGTCGATGAGGTATGCAGGGCGAACGGCAAATCGCCAACCGTAATTGCAACGTCGACAACAACTGTCGTATTCTCTCGATACGCCAAACAAGGACAATAAGGAGACAGAGAGGCAGATACGAGAGGAACGTGGGAAAATACACGATGCATCATAGACTGCAGGGAACAGGCAGTGGGCGCTTAACGAGGTGAAGCGATGATCAGCAAAATCAAAATAGCATCGCTGGCTGGCCAGGCTGAAAACGAACCCCACTTACACCATACTTTGACACGGCAGCACAGCAACGCATCGACACGTCGAGGCCCGCAAAGGACGGGAAAACCGAACTCGGTGAGGCCCAGGAGATGCGGCCATGAGGCACAAAATCAAGCCGGGACGGGATGTGGGCACAGGAGGCGCGGGAGGACGCATGGTGGAAAACAGAACAAGACACAGACGGCTCCGAATACGACCGAAGCGAGAAGTTGCTACATTGACCATCGACGGGCCATGCAGACTTGGGTCCTGCATTTACGAGTGTCATTTCGCTTAGTTGGGTGTTGCTTGTCACGTCACCTTCGCAGTCGGTTTCAACCGTTTCACTCGAAGGCATCCCAAGAATAAACACTGTATGAAAGTTGACGATACGCTGGGCAAACAAAAATAGACGACGCCCGAAGGCAGAGGAAATATGGGGTGCATTATCCCGGCATATGAAAAGCGTTCTACATTCATCTCTCGTATCCTCAGGGAAGAGCATCAAGATGCAGCAGCAACTGCTGGATACAAAGGATGCAACTAAACGAGAGCCCAGGTTACCCGGCCGCCCCATTTCCTCAACCGCGGCGGTCAACTTGACACGTCGACTCGTCACCGTACCTACGTAGGACATGCCAACGACTTTTCGGTATAATGTTAACTTTGCTCAAGGCACACCCTCGTCAACATCGTCGGTCGTGATCGGGGTGCTCTTCGTAAGCCGTCGATGCGAGGTCCTCCGTCCACGAATGATGCTCCCAAAACTATCTCTCTGCCGCTGTTAGCTGAAACCGCAAACACAGTCTAGGAGTAGACGGGGGGAAGCAATGATGGCAGCAGGCAAGGTGCGCAGCAACAAATCAGAAGTCCGATGAATTCATGGGGCCACTTCGAGATTCCCGAAGCAGCCCTAACATAAGAGGTACCAGAAAATTGTAAAGGTGATGATCATCATTTGATTGCTGGCAGTGAATGGGAACGAGGGGAGAGTGTGCTCGCAAGAAAGGGCATCGAGAACTTACCAAAAGGCTGAGCAACGCGCCCAGGGGAGGTCCTGCCTCGCCCAAAAACGATGTTGACGACGAAAGAAAATTTTAGCAGCAAACGAGCAGCCAAAGACGGCCCTTTGAAAGGTAGCGATAAGAAGCTCTGGCCCGTGCTCGGTGGCTGATAGCATCGCTTAGTCATCTGTCACGTGCACAGCTCTAGAACCGTTCTTAAGCTAAAATGACCCCTAAGATAATACCAACGTGCGCACTTTTATTTTTCCGCCCCCCTCTAGCGTCGCATGGAACAGCCCACCACAGAGAAAAAAGAGTTGGGTGGGAGGTAAAAAATTAGCCCCAGCCAAAAAATTAGAGAGTTGGTGTGCAGTTTTCTTCGAGGCTGTCACGACGCTACTGATTTTCCTCGTCTATTTTTTCCTCCTCTTTTTTGGCATCTCGACTACCATCAACAACCTCGACAATCACCACCACATCCCCATCCACCAGCAAACATGGGTCGTCTTCACAGCAACGGAAAGGGCATTTCGTCCTCCACCGTCCCCTACTCCCGCACCGTCCCCTCGTGGCTCAAGACCACCCCCGACCAGGTCGTCGAGCAGATCTGCAAGCTGGCCAAGAAGGGCGCCACCCCGTCCCAGATCGGTGTCATCCTGAGAGACTCGCACGGCATCGCCCAGGTCCGCATCGTGACCGGTAACAAGATCCTGCGCATCCTCAAGTCCAACGGTATGGATTGAACCCGAAACCCGTGTTTTTTCCGAGAGGACCGACAGAGCGACGACAAAGTCTTGCGAGCCGAGACGAGAACCGAGACGGCAATTTGCAACGGGAACATTGAGAAGCGAGCAGACGAGAGAAGAGGAATAGGATAAAGGAGGGGAAACACCACCAGAGCCTAGTACCTTGACTCCCCCGTCTTCTCGACCTCGATTTCTCGGAGAGACCATCGTCGACCGTTTTCGTTTTGAGGGGCTCTTTGCGTTGCTTTGTGTATCCTCTCGCCTTTATGTTTCACTTTACCAAACTGGCTTTCTCCTGGTGTGGAGATTGTCCATATGCCTCTGGCTGGTCATCGACTGACAGAGTGATTGATTAGGCCTGGCCCCCGATATCCCGGAGGACCTGTACATGCTGATCAAGAAGGTGAGTCTCGATGCATACTGTCTCTTATCCGTATCTCGCTTGCCTCTCGTCCACGCTCTAACAAGTCCCAGGCTGTTGCCGTCCGCAAGCACCTTGAGCGCAACCGCAAGGACAAGGACTCCAAGTTCCGCCTGATTCTCGTCGAGTCGCGTATCCACCGTCTGGCCCGCTACTACAAGACCGTCGGTGTCCTGCCCCCCACCTGGAGATACGAGAGCGCCACGGCCAGCACCATTGTCGCATAAAGTGCCATCCGCATAACAATGGATGTGTAGTTTTTGGACGTGTTCCGCTGGACTGTTGCGTGAGCTGAGAAAGCGTCTCGTGTCGTGGACGGGAGACACGAAAAGAAAAGCAAACAAAAGGGCGTAGGACGTTCTTTCTGGTTCTGGTCTTGTTCTGGTTCATTTCCATTTCATCAATGGCGTTCAGAACGGGGGAAGTGGGAAAATTCTTCGAGCGTAATTAGACGCTCAATTCAAGTCACGAAAGCTAAAAAAAAGCAAAAACAAAGCATAAAGAATTATGATTCCCGCCCACCCTTTTTTCTCATTCTTTTCTCCTATCCGCGGCACTGTTGGTGTCTTTTCTCTCGCTCGCGCAACACAACCCCCAATAGCATGGAACCCAATTGCTAGTAATAGAAGAAGAAAAAAATGGGAAAACGATAAAACGCAACAAACGAATTTTGTTTGACCCGTACCATGTGCCGTAGAATAGTATATAGACATCTGTCCTGTTTCTGTATGCCGCGATGCTCTTGCTCTCCGTCGTGCGCCTCGCGCTTTTCATCACATCCCCGTCCTCGTACCCGTAGCCGCTCACTTTGTCCCCTCCAGTTCTCTCGATCGTTGCAGCAAGTACTCGCCAAGCACGCGCAATGGGTCTCGTGGCCTGGACGTGTCAGTCTCTCGTCATCTTCAGTTTTTGACTTCAGGATATAGCCCGGCCCACCGCTACGTACTGCTCCTTCGCAATCATCTTCATGCCGTCCAGTAGCGGCTTGGTCAGCTTCGAGTTGATGTACTGCCGCACCGGCGCGCCGTGCAGCGGCGCCTCGCTCGGTATTGTGAAGCTCGCCTCTGGATGAGCCGATGCCGCCCTACTGCTGCTCTCCAGACGCTCGCCGCCGTTGGCCGTGTGCCGCACTGGTGTCCCTGTCCGACCGGCAGAGGTGTGTGCAAGAGGGGCCGGGGACTATACGCGTCGGTGTTTGGCATTTGTTAGCTTTGCATCGTACTTGACGTCGCATCACGGACGGCCCACTCACAGCTGCACCGTCGGTCATGGCGATCTCGCCGGTGGATGCATCGACCGAGCCTTCGGGTGCGGTGTCGGCGCCGTCACTGGGCGGCCGTCCCTCAATGTCGTGGTCGGCCATGTTGAGTGGAGACGTAGTCGACGGCGGTGAGGGGGACGGGGTTGGCAGGTGGGAGGATGGTTGAAGCTGTCGTCTCGAATTGTCGCGCTTTTCGTTTGTTCGTCGCGATGCGCCTGAAGCGGGAAGCTGAAGCTTACGAGCTGTCATTAACGGGCGCGCAGAGGCTTTCAATTAGTGGTCATGTGATAGCGTGTGCGCCTGGCGCCGCCCAAAATGACAGAAAATGTCCCCTGGAACGCGTTGTGGTCGTGCCCCGCAACCTGAGAAAAGCCGGTCCTGGTCTTGCCAAGTTCACAACTCGGCGAATGTGCGGCGAGATCGCTCTTTCCTTTCTGCTTCCTCGTCTCTTTATTAGAGGAAAGAACGACTCAAAGGTACCCCTTTTCCTTGGCTGTCCTTTCCATACTAAACCAGGAGCTAGAAATATGGCCCAGAATGGACAAATTTCTTGTCCGGCGAGCACGCCCGTCTTCTTCCACGCCGTCCTCGCGAGATCGTGAGCGATCGGACGAGAAGCGTGTGAAAAGGACGAAACTTGAGAACGACGACACTTCTGCCGACAGTGGAAATGAACATGTTCTTCTTGACTACCTCAAATGCGAAGAAGAAGAAGACGATGCTGCTGACAGTGGCAGAGATCTTGAGCTCGTCGCCGGTAGTTGCGAAGCCGTCCCCTTTGAAGAGCCGCTGGCTGCCATTGAGGCGACCGACGAGGTGATTGACGACTCGTATGGTGCGACAGACGGCGCCGCGACTGATGGTCCGACTCTCTACCGGAGTTCCATCTATGTTGACGCTTTCAACATTGCCCTCGACACCGTCCTCGAGCAGGAGGAGCACCTCTTTAATGAGAAGGAGAAGGCCGTCTTTTCAGCCTGGCGCAGCCTCGACTATGAGGCTCAGTACCTGTAAGCACTGTGGTGCTATTTGCCCTTTTCATTTTTCGGGGGGCGCATGAAATTGACAAGCAACTTCTATCCAGATATGTCCGTCTCTTCCTGAGAAAAGAGGCCGCTTGGCACAGGACGCAGCGTCTCAGCTACCGCTCCAACATTGGAGATTTGCAGGCGGCAATTGAGACACTGCAAAAAGAGCATCAACTGCCGCTGTGTGAGGACGATGTCCGAAAATCACCACTCTCTAAAACTGTCCCCCAAGACTGGGCCTTGGGCGACACCTTTGTGTTTGCCCAGATGTTCGACAATATTGACACGACCGTCGAAGAGGCCGTCTCACTCTTGTCACTCGACGAGCTCAAGACCCTGGCAAAACAAATGAAGGCTATTGGCAAGACAAAAACAGAGCTACAGGCAGCCATCATACACATGGCAACAAGGCAGCGGACACTCATGTCGGCCGGTCTCCGCCGCCACTCGACCGCCGATTCCGCACCAGGGACGCCGGCGACACCTGGAACACCAGTACCGGAGCGTCGACGAGACAGCACGGCTTCGTCCGATCGCGGTGAGCAGCTCATCGAGAAAGTAGCGGCCATAACCGGCCCGTGCATTCGCATCTGCCCATCTGTGTTCAGACTGTTTGAGCGCGTGCACTTGGTTTTTTATCGGACAACGGAGTGGACCGAAAAGTCGCTCACAACCATCGTCCTCGCCAAGATGTCCAAACGCAATTTTCCCGACTACATCGTCTCGCGAACCGCAAACATTTTCGAGTCCCGCCAGCAGCTGCTCGATTTCGAGGAGGCTTTGCGGCTCGAGCACCGAGTCGATCACATTCTCAACGTTGACGGCAAAGAAGACGGCTTTCGGGACGTTGTGTCTCTGTTCCACAGCATCGCCGACCATTGGCGCGCCCTCCTCAAAGACGAGAAACGTCGACAAGACGAAACAGACATCGGCGGTTCTGGCGACGAGAGCTACCTCCGGCGCTTCAAAGCCGCACACGTTTTTACTCGCATCGCCCACTACGCAGCCCATTGCTTTGGTCGACTGCATGAGTATGTGGACGAGTATGCACTCATCCAAGAGCTTCTTGACCAGCGACTACTGCATCTCGCACGCCGAGGCTCGTGGTATCAACGAAAGGCTCTGTTGGAGGAACGCTACATGGCTACGGCCGCTTCCAATCCCAAGTACAAGGACGAAGATCAGCAAAAGAAGTATTGGTGGCGGAAAGCGCTCGAAACATGCGAGCAAGCGCTGCAGGACCGTGACTGTCACCTCATCTACCACTTTGATTTGCAGAAGCGGACGCTCAAGCTGGAAAAACGGCTCCGGATCCCTCGGCGGCTTCAGCACGACTTTGGCCACGCACGCCTTCTTGCGCCCGAAGAGCATTTTGTGGAGGGTGTGCAAATCAAACGAGACGAAGGCGTGCTACCACACCTCACAAGAAAACCCAACTCTGGCAGCAACCCGGATGGCACCGTCAGCGTCAGCAGTGTTGGGTTTGGTGGTGGAATGAGTACAAAGACTGTCTGGGTCGACGAGCAGGAGGCCGAATCCAAGGGCGACGGCGCCGCTGCAGAATGCTCTGTCGAAGAAATGTGCCTCAACGAATACCGCAAGCAGGGCTGGAAGGGCTACCATTCTGAGGGCGGCATCGTACGAACCCTCTTTGCGTACCTGTTCTACGATATTTTGTTCTTGTTTATCCCCAATGTCTTCCAGACGCCGTACCAGGCGTGCCCCCTCGACCTCCACACCGACACTTTCTACCCATCGCGGGCCTCGGAAATCAACCGCCGGCTCGCCGAGATTGCCAATGGCGAGGCGCCACGCATTGTGCGTGAGGTGCATGCCGCACACTTTGAGCGCCGTACGTGCATTGTGGGACTCCAGTGGGACTTCCCACTCGAGGATGTGGTCGAGCTAACCCAGGGCTTCCGCGGCGACGCCCTCGCCCTCGTGTGCAAGGTACTCGCACAAGAGTACCGCCAGCGAGGCGGCGGTCTGCCAGACCTATTGCTTTGGCGCACGGAGCCTACGCCGGAAGTCCTGTTTTCTGAAGTAAAGAGCGCCAATGACCGTCTCAGCGACACCCAGCGCATGTGGATTCATGTTCTGGCGGGGGCTGGCGTGCGTGTCGCTGTCTGTCATGCGATAGCCAAGCAGGTTCGAGTCAAGTCATAAACGAGGGGGTGGGAGGGAACAAGCGCGTTACTCGTTTTTATCCACCCATGTCGACCTCCCTCCAGACTGTGCATCGTTCTCAGGTTGGATACGATGGTGATATTGTCTCGGTATCATTGTCTTCCTCCAAAGATTGCACACCACCTCGTCTACATTAGCTGCATCATCACACGCACGATGATTGGGGAAACGATTGCTGAACGACAATAGCGCGGACCAACACCAACAGGCGTTTACAAATAAGCGCGGCCTGGCCACATCCTGGATGCTCTTGTGCGGAAGCGCGGCACCAGCATAGTGTTGGGAGAAGCACCAAATTGGAAGGATTCAATACTAAGACGATGCTTCCCAGCTTGGCGCCCATCACATCCTCTCCTCTTTCAAACCAATCACTAGAAAACTGTGAGAGTTGATAAGTACCTTCGTCTACTCGAGGAAGGCGGCCGAGACGTCAAGGTAGTTGGGTCGTTAGGCTCGTTGTGACATTCCGGTACACTCTGTGTACGAGCAGGTTCGAAAGTGTCGGTGCTTGTTTGTTCATCCGGCGTTTTGTTGGATGCTGTTTGCTCGCTGTTGGAGTTTGTCAACTCGACTGCCGGCTGTTATTGTCACACGTTGCAGATCTCCCAGCCTCTACTTTGAATCTCTCTGTGGTCTATGACACGCATTGGACACAGGCCCTGATGAACGCAGCCCAGGCACGACCGCATGGTCTGGCCTTTGGGCCATCTGTGTCCTTTACCGCGCATTCAATCTGTTTATTTGTTTACATATTCCCCGACCCACAGTTCTTATCACCTTCTCGCCCCGTCGCGCTTCCTGGAACGACGCTTGTTTGTTTTTCTGCTCGCGGGAGGTGGTCCAATGGTTCACCTCGTTGATGGGTGAGATCTGCAACATCTGGGGGCCATCTCTCTCGACCCATCTGGCCCAGGCGTGGCCCTACCTGGCCGAGCTGTCTCGACAAGATGAAAGAGATGACAGGGATGGCAATGACAAGAAATACGGGTGGCTGGCATCGGGGGGTGATCAAATGCTTGCTCGAACTAGGTCGCCAGTTATGCGGCCAAGTCATCTAAAGCACCTGCCGAATGGTATAACGAAAAGTGAATGGGCCTGTCACAACTGGAGGGGTGGAGGGAAGGCTTGGGCCTCCATATATGGCCGCAGCGACCACTGCGAGGATGCACAACAAGACAAGACACCGGCCAATGGCTCTTTGAAAAAGAAAAACACATGCATGACCTCGCGCGCGGGTCGGCCTGTTCCTTCGACGTTGTTTCTACGCCTCCAAACAACATAGGGTTTTCTTTGGCCTTGTTCAACGCGTTCGAACATAGAGCGCTGCAACGATCAATGCATCCGGGAGGTGTGGAGACCATGCATGATCTTTTGTTGACAAGAAGCAAACTTGACAGTTGTTGCCTCAGGACCTTTGGTGGGGTTGGGCGTTCGATGGTGTCGATGGTGTCGATGAAGTGTTAGTTGAACGGTCCCATACAAGCGGTCGCCAGCTAAAGTTTTAGCGCTGTTCGGGCCGCCCACGTCTCTCTCCGCCCCCTAGCGCCTTTCCGATTTAGGCAACTAAAGCGGTTACTGCCCCTGGCCAGGCCAGGTCTGGGCACAAAGTCTCCCCATGACTTATGACGACGAACGACGTGCAGCGCGAGTGAGTCTCAGCGAGACGTTTCTTTTCAGTCACTTTTAACCGGACGCTGAGCCCCCGTACAAGCCTCCAAAGAGACGCCCGCAATCACATTTCAACTTTTTTGTGCACAAATCCTACGTTCCCTGCAGCGTGACCCGCCGACATGCTCATTGGCTCATGGCCCTTGCCTGCAGATTCGACGCTAAGAGAGATCCTTCTGGTCGGGGGTATTACAGCGCTAGCAGCCTCAGCCAATCGTCCTCATTCGTTGCTTGCCGCCGGGGCTGGTATTGAAAGAGGTTGTGTTCACTTTTCAGCACACACGAAGTCACTCTGGGTCGCCTTGGAGCTTGAAGTACCGGGGACAAGCTGCAAACTGAAGAACGGGACAAGACTAGCGCCATCGTGCCGCCTGTCGCTTTGCCCTGCTTTCGTCGGCACTCTTGTCCTCGGAGTAGTTGCTTCTTGTCCTTCTCAGGCGCAATCTGCAAAGACGGTTGAGCGCTCAGTCCCAAACTGAGAAGAGCCCTACCGAAACAGAGCTGCGCGGAGTAGTAAGTACTCTGTCCGGAATAGTCGAAGCCCTCCAGCAGTCGCCCGCTGGTCATCGGACCGCCTCATACTCACCCTTCACTTACACCAACAATACGCTGAAGTCGCGTCCGTACACTTTGCGTTGTCTCGACGTCTCCCATCCCCAAAGCAATCTCAACCTTTTTCAGAGCAGTTCGAGTTAATCCCTCTTCTCGCGCGCTCCCTCTCGATAATCCCCATTCTACGGAGTACGCCACCTCTTCATTTTCTCCCGCCTTGCCTCTCAATGTGCCCTTCTCGTTCAGACTTCCACTCTGGGACCTCTTGCGCGCCAACGAGCGGGTCGCAGCCTGCTCAGAAACTCAACCCCCCTGCTAGCTCCCCCTGGCACAGTCCAGTCCAACGGATCACAAAAGAGGGCCTGGGGGGTGGCCTGGCGAGCCAAGGCCAGCGTCAGACTCCAACATCCGGCGGCAAGCAGCACAAAAGGCCTGGCCAACCAAACGCAACACACAACAACGGCAGCGCTCGACACCAACGCGCATGGTCCATTAGAGTGGTCTGGCGCACGCACATTCGTTTTGGTCTTTCGCCAGCTCCTCTGACCCGTTTCTTTGGGATTTCTGGCTTTTTCTCTTCCGTCGCGATCCCTGTTGGCGCCTGCGGGAGGGAGGTGGGGAAAGTAGGAAACGTGATGGGGATGGGTGTAAGTACTCCATACAACGTGGATTCCCCATCGAAGAATAGACACAGACTTCAGACCAAAAGACACGGGCGGCTCCCACGCATCGACGCTGGCGCTGGCCTTTTTGAGTATCGACCACTTACGCCGCAGTACGGAGTACATTGCCTGCCCACAACTTTATCTACTGCCACCTGCACTCTTGATGCACAGTCAACACTCTGAACACATTGAGCACACATAGCACACTTAGCACACATACGACATACATCTACCAAACGACACACCCTCCTTACTCACATATCCCGGCCCCCCTTCGCCAGGCGCCCTTTTTTCTTGCCGCCCACCCCATGCTCCCATGCTCCGTGCGGCCCTCCTGCTGGCCCCGAACGCGAGCGTTTCGGTTTCTTTTCCTGGGCCATCCCCCCCTTCCTGCCTTCTTCACCACCCCAACGTGTTCTTCGTGCACTTGTACTTGTAGATAGGTGTATTACTATATGTACACCTGGTTTTCCCAACTCCAGCATCTGGAATCGTTTCTTCCCTCTTTCTTCTCCTCTTTTTTTTGTCTTCTCTTCTCCTACTACTTCCTCATCAGCCTTGCCCTTGACGTTGTCCTGCTGTTTCGTCTACGCCTGTTGCGTTTTTCATCTGCCTCTCCTCCGGAACGAGTCATTTGCTTGGCTTGGTCTTTGGTCTTTGACTGTTCTCTCCCCTCGTCAACCGAAACCGCCATCATGCCTTCCCGCAAGCCTACCCTGGTGCTGTCCACGCCCGTCACGGCATCGTTTCCCGCCGAGGAGCTCATGTCGGCCGCCTCGGTGCGCACGCCGCACTCGGCTATCTCGACGTCCTGGCGGGAGTCAGCAGCTTTGCCGTCGGCAGGTCTGCCCTCTGCTGGGCTTTATTCTTCTGGGCTCCCATCTGCTGGGCTTCCCTCTGCCGGTCTCCCATCTGCGGGGCTTCCGTCGGCTGGCCTCCATTCGGCGGGTCTTTTGTCGGCGGGCCTCTACTCGCCCATTGTGGCTATCAAGACCGAAGACGGCCTGATGAAAACGCCCTTGTCACCGCCCGTCGCCTACATGGATTTCTTGAAGCTGGCCAGCCCCATTGCCACCAGCCCCTGCACCAGCAGCCCTGTCACCACCACATCGGCTGCCGCTACCGCGGACACTAGCACACACACGGGCAGCCGCCCAAGTCACACCCGGCCGCGCATGCTTCACCGTGCCTCGATATCTGGACCGGTCAAGATCACGGCCAGCAATCTCGGCTCAACAAAATCCTCTGCCGGGGTCAAGTCCGCTGCTGCCGCCGCCGCTGCTGCTGCTGCTGCCGCCACGGCACCGTCTACATCACTAGCGTCTACGTCGTCTGCATCCAACTCAGACACCGAATCTTCGGGCAACGACGCCGAGGACAAGGACACCCTCGACAGCGGACCGTCCACGGCATCCAGCAATGCCACGGACTGCTGTACATGTGAGCACAGCCACGAAAGAGCACACAAGTCGCCCAAGATTGCACGCATCGACACGGCCATTCCCGCCAGCGCCTTTTCCCCGAGCAGCATCCCCACATCGGCCCCGCCCATCGGCCGCACGACCTTTCCGAGTCTCAAGATCCCCATCTCACCGGCCATCTCCAACACCAACTCGCCCATCCGGTCGCCGTTCAGCGCCAAGTCCACGAGCATCACGTCACCGTTTGACTGGGAGTCGGCGCTCAAGGCGCGCTATGCTGAGTTCAAGGCGCCACCGGCCAAGTCGCACGCGCATGCCCTTGCACAGGCCAAGGCGCCTGTCCCAGCACCTGCTGCTGCTGCTGCTCCTGCTACTGCGTCGGCTTCCGCATCGGCGCCTGGCTGCGCCAAGTGCTCAAACAAAGCCGTCCCGCCCAGCACGTCCACGTCCACGTCCACGTCCACGTCCACGTCCACCACGACGTCCATGGCCGCCTCGGCCAGCAACGCCGCCAAAACCAGCATCCGCCATATCCGCGAAGTCGTCACGCGCACGGTCACATATACGCCGCGCGTGGATCCGCCACGCATGAACGCACCGCCCAAGGGCAAGAAACGGAAGATTGATTGCGACGATTCGGCGTGATGGCAGATCTGGTTCCGATGCCAAGGGC